CGGCTTTGCCCATTTCCTTTTGCTTTACTAGAAAAGGTACTAGAAATTTTGAAAGTGCCCTGTGGCTGGCTTCATATTTGGAATGAAAGGGCAATTTTGTCTCCATGGTTCAAGCTAGACTTACTAGGGGGAAATTCCTTATTTGGAATTTCCTTTGCTGAACTTGTCGGGGTCCGTTGTGCCTCACATGCCCAGGTACAGCTGAGCCTACCTGCTATCAAATATTCAAACTCTGTAGCCAATATATGTATGTCAGATGTGCCTTATCTGTAACCCCACCCCTCCCAAAGAGTAATCCTCCTCTGCTGAGCCCTGGACTGGACCAGTCCCCGGAGTGTGAATGCAGACTGGTCCACCGGTGTTAAATAAAGCTTTACTTTGTCTCTGCAGCTCCCGGTGTGCGTTCCATCCTCCTGGACTGGTGGCAACAGGCGACATCAACGGAATGGAAAATTTGCCGCTTGTTTCAGTACTAGACAGCACTGTGCTAGAAACACATTCTGTGCTTTTCTCCAGCCAAGTCAAGTGGAGAATGTAAACTGCACATTGCCGAATCTCAGCTATTCAGAGGCTGAAGCAAGAGGACTGCAAATTGCAGGCCAGTTTGGGCAACTTCGTGAGCCCCTGCCTCAAAATAAAAAGGGCTGGGGGTATGACTCAGAGGCAGAGCACTTGCTTAATATGTGCAAGGGCCTGGGCTCAACCTCTGTACCTAAGAAAAAAAAAGAAAGAGAAAAAGAGAAAGAAAACAGATCAAGGGCATGCATATGGCTTAGTATTAGTAACCCCAGACAGGGTATCTCTCTTTTAGGTGTGCATCTGTCCTAAGCCCAGTGTCTTAGGCTGTGATGGTGGCTCTCATCCCAAGCAACTGGGAGGTGTCAGGCACTTGGGCACCCAGGTCTCCTTGAAGGACCTTCTGATGTCCAGCAGCTTCAGCATCAGGCACATAAGTCTCTGGAAGAGTTCAGGATGCAGCCTGGGCTGGGGGTGCAACTCTGTGGTTGAGCACTTGCTTAGTGTGTCTGAGGTCTGGGTTTGATCCCCAGAACTGAAATAAAAATGCTGAGAACCACGTGTGTCAGGAGGAGAGGTGGACACCAAGTGCAGAGGATGGACATGGCACACAGGGTGGCCAGGTCACTGTCAGTTGAGTCTTTGCCTGGAACCAGGGAATCAAGTTGTGAAAGGACCAGGCTGGCCAAAGCTTGTGTTCTGGTGAAGAATCTTGGAAGGAGATCAAAGCATTGGGAAACCTGCTGGCGAGACAGCCTCACTCTATGAGTCACAGAGAGGGATTAAGGAGGGGGAGAGAGAAGCCCTGAAAAAAATACCTGTGTATGTAGTGACACGTCCCCTGCCCCGAGGGCTAGTGACAGAGAAGTGAGCCATCTGGACCTCTTCCCTGGACACTCCTGGTCCTTAGGATCCCTGCTCCACACCACTACTCACTGGTGAGGAAGAAGGCCTGGCCACAGCTGTTCTAATGTGAGTCAAGAGAAGCCCAGCTCACTTATACACACTGCTCTGTGTCTGTGTCTACAATGCTCAGAATTCCAGCAGGCTCCCTTTGGAATGGAAGAGTTCATAAGAGTCAAGAAAAGGAGCTGCCTGTTGTCCCAACTCAGGGCTGCTGCACACCAGTCTGAGCTCTGGGAGATTCCTAACATATTTGGCTGCCCTTGGAGAAGAAGATGGGCCCAACCTCCCTGAGAACACTTGCTTAATTTCTCCCAGCAAAGCTAGCACTCAGGTGCGAAAAGTTGGTTTGTTACCACTGATCCTTTGATGTTAAAAAAAGATCTTTTGAAAAAAAAAAATCCTGTTTCCTGAGACAGATGTCAGCTCTTTTCCTCCTCCCTCCCTTTCCTCTCTCCTTATCAGCTGCTGAGGATTCTGACTGTTCTATAACCTTTTTTCTAATTTCAGTAGGTTTCACTAAATGGCAAACAACACGGTGGGTCTAAAATTCACCTGCTTGAAAATGGCCTGCAAAGCAATGGTATTTAGGATTTTACTCCCAGATGTGGCCAAATGATTATAATACCACATGCCATGTCTACTGTGATCACCAGAGGTTTTCCTGGGGCCTTTCTCTCAGGCTTCTGGGAAAGGAAACAAGCTGCTGTTATAATCAGAGCCAGCCCAGCCCATCATTTCAAGTCTCTTGCAGAAGGTGAAGATCAGCCCCAAATGGTGGTGCACACCTGTAATCCCAGCACTCAGGAGGCTCAGGCAGGAGCATTACCTCAAGGCAAGCCAAGTCTAGATAGTAAGTTCAAGGCCAGCCTGGACTATATAGCAAGATCCTATTGTAAAAAACCAAAACAGATGGAGGTCTGAGCTCCTGTGTGTGTGTGTGTGTGTGTGTGTGTGTGTGTGTATGTTGGGGGATGAAGTACATTTGTGAATGGAGACACATTTGTATTCAAGCCTGGTTTCCTGTCTTTTTGTGTTTTCTTACAGATCTAAAGTTGTAACTTCCACATGAAAAGAAAGACTTTAACAGTTTCTATTTCTATCCTGCCTCCCCAAGGGGAGATATTTGGAAGTACATCCAACATCCAAAAACAAAATCCCTTCCTCTGGCCAAGATTCAACTTTGAAAATATTATTTTTAGATTTGGAAAGGGTTCTCTCTGTCCCCCCAACCCCCAGCACATATATTTTTACTCTCCTCTCCCAACTCCACCAGGGTCTGTTTCCTGGCATTTCAAGAAGTGAGAAATGCCTGTGCAGGGAAACCATGAAGACACAGATTATGTTGAAATGTGGTTGGGGAGCCTGGCCCAGGAACAGACCCGGCGGTCTTGTGATGCTTCCTCTTGCTCTCTGATCTTGGTTGCATCTCACTGGAGGCTGCCTGGAACTCGGGTTTGCCACCTGCTTTCTGAGACCAGGCCAGCTCTGCATGTGGATATATATATCTGGTAAATATCTTGTGAATATCAAAAGCAGGCCCCTGTATTTAGGCTTCAGCTGATCTATAAGCAGTTGTCTGCTGATGGCTCGGAAACCCTGCTACCTCGTGTTTTCCTTCCATCGGTGCACTTATTGAGCACTTATTAGCGAGGCCAGGCAGGATTCCAAGCATGGGGATAGATGAAGCCTATGCTTCGTGGATTTTGCAACTGCTCTGCACTCTGAGCCAGGATAACAGAGGTTGCCTGAGTTCAGGAACTGTCTGCAGGGTGCTGGCTGACTCCTGGTCCACATTAACTGTGACTTCCCCTCTGTCCCACTAAGCCAAGCACTGTGCCCGAGAACCCTGAAGCCCTTTCAGGTCAATGGGTGCTCTTTTTGTCTTCCTGCTCTTAACTTTTGCCCTGTCCTTGCCCAAGCTTCTGAACCCAGTGAATCTTTCTGTGTCCTCGCATTAAAGGATCTGTCTTCAGGCAGCTAGAGCTGAGGTTCACTTTAGTACTCTGTAAACTTCAGACTTATATGATGTTGAGTGGCACCTGACTGTGCCAAGTCTCAAAGTGGGGCAAAAAAGGCAAGGAGACAACCAAAGATTTTTGCAAAAAATTATTTTCACACAGGATTATCGTACAAGATATTATGTGCAAAATTCCATTAAAAAATCATTTACAAAAGGAAGTACAACACAGAATGTGCTGAAGGTTCTTGCTCAACAAAAGCCAGGACTGGCAAAACTAAAAGGTCCAAAACCCATCAAGTTAGAGGACGATGCATCCTGACAGTTACAGTAACATGTTTTTATCTCTACCTGGGTTACACTGATACGAGACTCTCTAGTCTGTGCACCTTGCAAGCTGGTTTTATAGAATTTAAATCTAACTTCACCATACTATTTTATTCTTTGCAGTGCTGGGGTTGGAACCAACTGAGCCACACTCCCTGCCCCTGCATTCTAATGCAGAGGGGTTTTCTGGTGCTTTTCCCATTCTTTTCTTAACAGCACCTTACTGAATGCAACAAAAGCTGCATTATACACTACTTGGTTTCTGCCCAAAATAAGTAGATGCTGTTAGTTTTGATTTATTGGAAATGGAGAAAAAACTGTTACTCTTGATTTTTTTTTCCTTGTGGGGTTTTTAAAATTGTTTCTGAAAGTGGAAAACATATGGAATAGATTTCTGCCACATCCCATTGCATATTTACAGTATTTTAAGCATAGTTTAAGGTTCCTTCTGACTCCCTTTTCCTATGTCCTTCAAAGAGCCTGAACCAGCAGACTACATTCCTCAGCCCTTTGTCAAGAGTCTGTATTTCTCTCTCTACCTCTCTCTACATTCATTTCTCTCTGTATTTTCAGCATTACTTGTTTGAAACAAAACAAAACACAAAACACCAAGCACACCACTACATGTGACCAAGACGACAGTACATCAATTTCCAAAGGCATTCTGTGGCCAGTGTCAGAAATTACATTGCTTTAAGAAATCCAGCTGTCTCTCTCCTAAAAGTTGCCTGAACATCCAGTTACAGAAGAGAGACTTGTAAAAGGCAATACTCTCAAATCCAGCAAGAGATTTCTTTTTGAATATTAAATGTTAAAATCACATGCATAATTATAGAATATTTTAAAGTTACAAAAATATTTAAAAAACCCATCCTGACAGTTTACCTGCAACTGCTATAAAAATTTCTATGAAATATATAAAAACACAAAGGCTCTTTGTAAA